AAGAAAGAAGGGAGAGAGCTGCAATTCAGCTCGCAGCATACCAACAGCAGCTTGCCAGAGCTTATAATAAGAAGGTCAACCCCAGGGAGTTTCAAATTGGTGACCTCGTCTTGAGAAAAGTCATCGGCAACAAGAAGGATCCCAGAGAGGGCAAGCTTGGCCCAAATTGGGAAGGACCCTACAGAATCATCTCGGTACTGGACAATAGGGCATATTGGCTTGAAGATAATGAGGGCAAAGAGTTGCCAAGGCCCTGGAATACTTGCAATCTTAAGTTTTTTTATCATTAAATTTTCTTGTTCTTTGTTATTAGCCGAAGTAATAAATAAAGCTTGATTTTTTGTGATTGATAAGATAGTTGATGACGTTTCCAGAATACATGCATAATGAGAACCCAAGTGGAACTTAAAGTTCACATTAGGGGGTAGAGAGTTGGAAACTGGTTTTTAACACTTGTTGAAATTTGTGAAAAATTTACAAGTTGACGTTAAGCTGAGATCATGTTTAAATGCTTGTTGAAACTTGAGTTTACAAGTTGAAGTTAAACTAAGTTTATATTGAACACTTGTTAAAATTTTGCGAAAAATTTACAAGTTGAGACCAAGGCTGTACCAAGAAAGGTACTTATGTACTTGCCGAGGTAAACCATTGGTTTGTATAACCGAGGCGTATCACCCCGAGAAGGTTGCACAAGACTAAGGTGTATATTGAAGACACAGAATTATTCTAAGTATGAAAGCCATACAAGAGCAGTAAAGGGAAGACAAACATGCAAGCGTTCAAAACAAAGAAGTTATATTTATAAGAAGGCACATCGGCCATGTGAAGAGCTTACATTGTTTCAAAAGGAAAACAAAGTGCAAGGCACAGAAGGAAGAGACAAACATAAAACTAAGATTCTTCGGCGCCACTAGCAGGTTGGGTCTGGATCTCGGAGGACTACTGAGAAGATATCTCGGCGGCCTTCTCAGCCGCGAGCTCGGCGTCCTTCTCAGCCGCGAGCTCGGCGTCAATTTCTTCTAGGGTTTGGTCAAGGCTCTTGTCAGCAATAGGCACGTCCGACCTTGCCTTTTCAAGGGTAGCATCTTTGAGAACCTCCTCACCCTCTTCATCCTGAGTCAAGTCCAGGACTTGCTCATTTTGAGTAGGGCACTTGGCCCCATCAGCCTCCTTTAACTTGCTCACCAAAGCTTCCTCCTCAGACTCAGAATCGTCGTAGGATTGGCTTGGAGTTGGGGGGGAATGGCAGGGCGAGGACGTCGGTGTTCCTGACGGGGGAGTCCTCGGGGACTTCAAGCTTTTTCAGTAAAGCCATCCAACCAAGGGTGAAACCCTTGTTACATGCCTACTTCGCCTGATGCTCGTAGTCCGCCGTGACATCGGCCACCCCCTCAGCATATGCCTTTTCGTCTGCGGCCTTGACCTCGGCCAATTTGGTGGCCAAAGCATCTTGGAGTTCCTTTTGGGCCTCGGCTGTCTTCTTTTTTTTTTTTTTTTCTGGGCCTCAAGAACCTTGTTTATGGCATCAGCAGCATCTGCTTTTTCCTCGGCCACATCTTTGGCTTTCACAGTAGCATCGGCCTGGTCTGCCAAAGTCTTCATTTTTTATTGTAAGCTTTTATTGGTCTTTTGCAGACCAGTAAAATCCCTAGTCTTGTCAGCCAACGCCATCCTTGTCTCAAAAGATTGCATTGAGAAGGAGTGGGCCTGCTGGATTGCCTAAAGAAAAATAGACAGAGCAGAAGTTATTAGAAAATTTTTTAAGTATAAAAAAGAAAGAAAGATACCAAGTGTGAAGACTTACTTGAACAGAGCGCTGGAGCATCAGAGCAAAATTTTCATACTCGCTCATCTCGACGTTTCGGTCGAGATCGCCAGGAAGAAGCAAAGCGGTACTAAGAGCGACGCCGACATTAACGTTGTCGACACTATCATTCACTTTGACTAGCCTATCCTCCAAAGTGATTGGTGGAGCCCAGGGGGCGTCTGATTTCGTTGGCCCCGAGGTCATGGCAGACTCGGACCTCAGCCTTTTTGACCGAGTTGATTGGGATCGTTGGCCCTCGGAGGGCCTCTTCTCGGGGGCGGAGGTGGTCTTCTCGCTCGAAGCCAATTTTGAAATTGGCAAGGTGTCCTCAGTATCAATCTGAGTCACCGTTGCCTTTGGCTGAGCCTTCTTTATCCTTTTTTGTTTCGGCTTTGGTTGAGATGGTGCTGGTTCAGCGTCAACAGTGGCCGGGATATTGGCCAAGAGGTCCTTAGCAACTGCTTTCTGGCGGCCCATCTCAGCGGCAAAAACTGTTCGGCGTCATTTACGGCGTTGAGATGGCGGGATCAGCTGTGGTGCCGAGGTAGATGGTTGTTCTGCTGGATCTGAGGTTGAACCCTGATTCGACCGAGATGAAGAAGCTGTTGGTGGAGTTGTGGCGGAAGGAGAAGACTTGCTTTTTTGCTTCCTTGGGACGTCAGGAAGTACTAACTTGTAGGTCGGGATGAAGTTGAGTACCAAAGGGGCTCTGCGCTTGTGGACTGGCAAATCCAGTAGCTTCTTCAGACCTTTGCTGGGGAAAAAGGACTCGCGAAAGCCTTTTTCTGGTTAGGGAAAAGCTGCAAGGAAAAACAGACATTAGAATAATTAGAGTATTGAAGACTTTAAAAACAAGTAAGTATGAACACATGGCTCTTACCATTACCCTCTACAAAAACTGTTCGAGGAAGAGGGAAGAGGTGGAGGTCCTCATCTGGAGCGAACTCCCAGTTCCCCGAGGTAATGAAGTAATCATCCCCAGCTCCCTTGTTGGAGTCTGGGAGGTCGACAATAATTTTGTACTCTGTGGACCTCGGGTTGAGGTAGTAAACATAGCCTGTCTCTTTTTTGAGGCCACATATGGTGTAGCAGTATTGGATGTCGGCTAAGGTAACCCTAGCATTCTCTTGTTTGGCTAAGGCTATTATACCGTTTATGACTCGATAGGAATTGATAGCAAGCTGCATTGGGTTTAACTTATAGTAGTGGATTATCTCACGGAAGAGGATGTCAAGTGGGAGCCCAAGTCCGCACTCGATAAAAGCTACAACAGGGAAGGGCATAGAATCAATCGTGGGCATGATGGAGTCATCCTCCCCAGCCAACCTCAAATGAACGTCGGCGGGGATGGGAAACTCCCGCATAAAGTATTCTAACTTGGTCGGGGTGTGTCACGACCCGAACCCGCCCCCATGGGTTAAGGACGTAACCGGCCAGTAATCCTAAGATTACCTACGGCCTCAAACCAAAACAGACTTAACACATCAGAGTAAAGGGGGGGGCCAAAAGGGAAGCAATTTAAAACTTTGTACATAGAGCCGTGCTTATACACACATCATAACAATCCAGACATACATATGTTAATAACTCACAACAGAAACTGTAATGACATAAGATTCTATACAGACAGGATCATTCAAATACTAAGTCAACCCATAAAAACTATAAGCAGACATATACAAAACTTTGCCAACCTGACAAACATAAATACATAACAAAAAGGCGAAGGCGGGTCTCATGCGTGAGACACAAGGGCTGACTCTCTCGAAACCTTAGTAGTTCCATACAGACTTCACTGAGGCTGGATCTGGACTTCTCTTGGCTCACCTACAAACACATGAATGAGCGTGAGCGAAAGCCCAGTGAATAATATCAGATATGACAGTTGCATAACAATATGCAGAACAACATGCTCCAAACGGCCTTGGGCCCAATTCATACTTCTATTTAAACAAATATGTATATATATAACTATACGAAATGCAAATCAAGTAACTGTAGTTCCAAACACTCTGGCCTTTGGCCCATTCGGGTTTCCATTCATGGCAAAACGGCCTTCGGCCCATTCACTTATGTCGAAACGGCCTTCGACCCATTCATTTCTGTCAAAATGGCCTTTGGCCCATTCATTTATGTCAAAACGGCCTTTGGCCTACTCGTTCAAGTCCAACGACCTTCGGCTCCTTTGCCTACTCGTTCATGTCAAACGACCTTCGGCCTACTCATTCATGTCAAAACGGCCTTTGGCCCACTCACATGTTGTCAAAACGACCTTCGGTCCATTCATGTTACATCAAAACGAAGACCTTCGTTCCATTCATTCTATTCAAAACGACCTTCGGTCCATTCATTTATTCATATCAGACTTACGTCATAATCCATAATTAGCAATTCATAAAGCTTATAAGGGAATAGACAATTGGACATTCACAAGCATTCAAATATTGATATTACTCACAAGTGATCGGCTTGTGGATTTGCCCTGAGCTTGATCCTACACGTTTCATGAACACAAAGGGTCATTAACAGTTCAATCGCGTTCTTTAATTCACATATTCCTTCTTTAGGCTTTATTATTATCTCATTAGCTCATTTACAATGCTTAACATTATGCCTAAGAGTGGTTGCAAGTAAAGAGAACGGAAAACAGAACACAAAATGCAAAAAACAGGATTTCAGAAAAATATGGTCCCCGCTCGAGCGTGGACTTCCCCGCTCGAGCGGACGCTTAAGTCTGCGAAAGTACTGGTTGCCTTCAATTCCAGCTCGAGCGTGAACTCGGCCGCTCGAGCGTACTGCCTGTCTACATAGCTCCCCGCTCGAGCGTAAACTTCCCCGCTCGAGCGGGAACCATGTCTGCAGAAAATGCTGGGAGCTCGATTTCTCCGCTCGAGCGTCACTTCACCCGCTCGAGCGGACGTCGAAAATCTGGGAATCCCAGGTTGAGTTCTTGAGCTCCATTCCGACTTTTAACCAACAAATCATGCATGTTGTAGCTCAAATATCACATATAAGTATACTAACAAGGTATAAACACCAAAACACATTGTTATGGAGCTCAATTTCAAGGATTAAACACTTGCATGTCTCAAATTGACACCAAACTCAATTCTATCATACATATTCATGCATTCAAAGCTCCCATCTTCAATTATTCAGACATGCATGCCCATTTGACTTTATATTCACTTCAAATAATGTAGTTAGTGCTCATTCCCATAAAATTTAACAAAGACATGCTTGCATGTGGGATTACACTACCAATCTTTCACAATTTCACAAATTACATGCTAGATTTTGTGATTCCATAGGAATTCTTTACATGCATGCACATATCAAGCCTCAATTTCAATAAAACCAACTCAAATCATGCTCTTGATCACAAACAACCCTTGAACACACAAGATTACACATTAAACTCATGAATTCAAGAATCAATGCTTACCTAGGGGCTCAATTCTTCCAATTTATGGTCAATTCTTGAGTTAAATCTTCAAATTCCCAAGCTAGAGCCAAAAATTGCTCAAGTCTCTTCCTTTCTCTCTCTATAGCCGGCCTCTCTCTCACTCTCAATTGTCTAACTCAGATTTTGAGTTTTAAGAGAGCTAAAGGAGAGTGCAATACAAATATACAACAAGCCCCACTAACAAATATTTTAATATAAAATAATGGGGTACTTAATTTATCAATTTAATCAGTTTAAATTGACCAGAACCAATTTTCAATTAAATTTCACCGTAGGCTCTAAAAATTATGCCAAACACGATGGCGTAATCAATTTCGGGTTCTGTGGCCGATAAGGCCTTCAATTATATTTCCAAAGCCGATAAATCAAACAGATATTCCTACGGTGAACAGATAACAATTCAAAACCACATAATGGCACACAAAACCATAACAAACGCATAATCGTATACACATTAAGGACCAATTAGCATATTACGGAACAGGGGTATTACAGTCTTCCCCCCTTTAGGAAGTTTGGTCCTCCAAACTTATTTTACCTTTAGTCGAAACAATTCGGAACACTTTTCATTCAACGGTTCCAATCCTTCTTAATAGTCATTCACTTAGTCTCAAAATCAAGCAACGCTCTATTCTCAATCAGTCATAGATTCACCTTTTTTCGCCATACAAGGCTTGTATGGTGCCATACCAAAACTAGAGTGTGAGCTGTTGTTGGAAGCAAAATTTGCCAATAATGGATAGATCTTTCCAACTCCCCTGAAAAATCTAATGCATATCTTTGGAGCATTCCTCCCAAAAATCTAGAAAGTTCTTTCTGATCATACATCAATTTGCGGATGGACAACACCGCCGAATCATAATTCAGTTTCGTATCAAATTCATAATTTGTCCAGATCATATACAGAAATCATAAGTCATGATTAAGTTTACGTGGTACATCCATTAGCATTAACAGATCAGAACGGAACAGAACATATACACGTGAGGTTACGAATAACCAGTTCCATAAAGGAACCTCCGGATCCAGGTGACAGAACAGAACAGAAGTTGAGCCCCCATTGCCTCTTGAAGGCTTTTCAGAATTCAAACACATTTTAGAATTTCTGTCTAAACAATAAATACTGGGACCCCATGTAACGAGCGATCTTATCGCTGCAAACAGTGACTAGTCTATAAGCATTTTACGAAAATTTCACAGAGAGGAGACAAGCAACTCAGTAATCTCATATTCAAAACTCAAACGGGACTTATACCTTGGGTGCTCAAGGTAGCCCCACAACAAAAATTCGTAGTCACATATTCCCATTTCCATTCCAAAAGAGAGAGATCGAAGTAGTTCCGCCACTATCTGATATTCGGCTTCGACCTGTTGACCCCGAAAAATACTTAGACACACATTCACCAATTACCCTTTTCAAAGCAGGTCACTAACATATTTATTTCAAATGTCAGCTAACTTGTCACAGAAGTTCGATATATTCCCTCGTCACAAGAGTTCAATTCATTCTTCAATAGTTCCACAATTCATAACCCGATTCGGTATTTCGTCCAGTGACTCATCACAGTTATCCAAGGTCAGTCAAAAGTTTTCAGAAATTCAAAGTGGATCCAGACACCGATTCCCTAACCAACAAAGGTGGTATCGAAGTAATTACCCATACAACGCACATAGTCCGTATATCCCCATAATACTGATTGTAAGATATAATAACATCGAAGCAGTCAATTTCTAATAGAATACACGTATTCTTCATTCATTCAACAGTTTACAGTTCACAATTCAGTTCAACATTCAATTCCCTGTTCTATCGAGTCTTTCCACATTATCTGATAGTCATCAAAAGCATAAGGCAATTCATATATAAACCTCCATAATGGCAAAGGTAGTATCAAAGGAGTCAATCACATGTTAAGCACAATTTACACATCCTCAGGGCCCCAATTACAGAATATAATGGCGCTGGGCAGGCGTTCACAAGGTGTACTGAATTCGCACACTTATGGATAATCAGGATTTTTCAAAGCTTCTTGGATGTCTATAACATCTGCATAATACCAAAAGATGACATTCCGGACAAAACAAAGGAATAATCGTCTCGGAATCAAGCACACCCGTTCACGACCGTCGGTGGCCGACTCGAGATCGATTAGTCAAACCCACCCGTACGAAACCGTCGGTGGCAAAAGGTATCTCGATCAAAGGTGCTACATAGGCTTAACGTCCCCTAACACGAAAAGACGCCCCAAGAATGTCATCAAAACAAACATAATACCACTCACCGTAACCTGATCTTCCAAAATTTTCAATTGGTAGAAAAACAAGATCTTTAAGTCTTCTTCACTTTTTGGTAAGTGATCTTAGCCAAATTTTAGAGAAATGAAGTGTATTTTTGAGTGAGAAACTAGGATATTTTAGACTTAGAGCAAGAGGGAGGAAAAGAGAAAGAAAAAGTGGAAAGAATGACCTAGAATTGTACTTTTAAAGTTGTTGAATTAGCGCAGACCGCTCGAGCGCAGCTTCCTACGCTCGAGCGTAAGACACAAACTCAGAAGGCTCGCTCGAGTGACAAATCCTTTGCTCGACGTAATATGACAAGTCCTAGAAGTTTTTTAGAGCTACAGTGAACCAACTAGGAGCCAACATTCTCCACTTGAGCACAACTTCCTGCACTCGAGCAACCCGCCTACAAACTTGCGAGATTGTGAGAGCTACAATTCTCCGCTCGAGCAGACACTTGGAACAAAATGTCACAATCTCTCCCCCTTAAGGAATTTCATCCCTAAAATAACATTCACTACCAATCCAATAACAAAGTATGGCGAAAACAATGTATTTGTCAATATTTAGCAACTCTCAATTAAACAATATGTCAAAATTAAGATCAAAACAAAGATAAGGGAGACTTAGAAAAATAATGGTTCATTTTCAATTCATCCTATACAAGGAAGTGTAAAGAAGTAATTACATTACAAATCTGAAAATAAGTTCGGATATTTCTCACGTGTCAGGCCCCCAAATTTTAATTACTCGGAAACATTACCAAAAGCCTTTAATTTCGGTCCCTTTTTCTTTTTCTTTTCTTTTTTTTTTACAAATATTTATTACCCTTGAGTAATAGAAACATAATAACACATGTTCTCTCTCTCAATGAATACAACAATAACAATAATACATGCCAAGCTTCCGCTATGGAGCTACAAATAAATAATTACAAACATCAATGTACAAAATTCATTTCATTCACATCTACAATGAGATTACACAAGAGATTCATGGACTTCTCAACTCCTCAACTAATGAATTCGAATTTTCTTCCAGAAAAAAAAATAAAACAGCGAGGGATGAGCATTAATGCCCCGTAGGAAATCTCATAGTTCTAAAGCAATAACTATCACATAGATAGAAATGATCATGCATGCAGGGTGATACCATATAGTAAGGTGATGTTTTGTAAGTTCAAAATATTATACGAAGAGTATCTTTTTCTTAAAATTTCATTTGAACCTTTAAGAAAACTCCCTACATAAATGTTGTCTCTCATCATTAGGAAGCCATAAATTCTCTTTGAAAACAAGTACACTTAAGAAAGAACATCATCTTAAATTTATTAACCTGATTCCAAATTCTTCCTTATTTCATTTCCGTTTTTCCTTTATACTATTTCCAATTACTATACTCCACAACATCAAAATCCAAAAGATTAGAGTTCAAACATAACACAAGAATAACAAACCCTTTTTAATTCAATTTCTCAATTATTTACAAAATAAAACTCATAATCTTCCCTTATAGTCACAAGCAATCCAGTGAGTTCATCATTACCAACCCCTAATCCAATTACCATTTCATTTTCCATTCTTTCAAATAATTTCATGTCAAATATCAGATCCATTAACAAGTCATCTTCATCAGTCACATGCTTAACCAATCACAAGCCGGAAGGAATACGAAACCTCACGTTTTACCAGTTATAAGCCGGAAAGAACATGAAACCTCACGCTTTACCGGTCACAGGCCAGAAGGAACACAGAACCGCACGCTTTACTGATCACAAGTTGGAAGGAACGTGGAACCTCAACATACCACACGCTTTACCGGGTGCTACTTCGGAAGGAAGGTGGAACCTATTTCAAGCGCCACACTTTGCTGGCTCAAAATATGGCGGGAAACGGACCCCAAAACAACATTACATTCCATAAATTTTCTCGAGCCATCCGTCATTGTGATTAGTGGGCAAAGCTGACACATCATCCATTATTCTCGTAACACATTCGTTCTAGTATTCCTGTAACACATTAGTTCAATACACACCCACCATATGTTAAAATTTCATTTACATAACAAGTACATAATATGTTCCACCACCTTCTCTATTATCCATCAAATCATTCGTTGTCTTTGTTACGAAAATATAACAGCACATCCATAGAGGCATAAAGATTCATCTTTAAAGTGTTCAGAATTCTTCAATTCAAACTATTTCTTTACTTTTCCATATTATTATGAAGTCTTCAAATTCAATTTTTACAACACATTGATTATCAATTACTACCCAAGGCTATAAATTAAATCTCCAACATTAATTTCTTTGATACAACTCCTTTATATAACACCGTCATATTTCACAATCTCCCATTTATCATTACATACACTCATCTTAACCCAACCTAGACTTAACATAATTCAACATAACTCAATGCAATTCAATATAACACAATAAAATTCTTAAATATTCACTTCATCATTTTATCACAAATCTCATATCATCATACCATTAACAAGTCATTTACCCAAATTTAGTTTCATATTATAACATAATTTAAAAGATCAACGATAAGAGTTCAATCGCAACTTTACATAAATTTCCAATCACTTCCAAAATTCAATTAAACTTGTATATGTGCAATTTAACACCTCAATTTCATAATACTACTTTCAATTTAAGCAAAACCATCATGTATCTTTATGAAACAAACTAGGGTTTTAAAAAGAAATTAAAGCTTTTCACAAAAGTACTTTTTATTCCAACTCTTCTATTGCTTATACACCCAAATTCATAACCCAAAATCATAACCCAACAAGTAAACCCCAACACTTCAAACCCTAAACCCCCAATCTCATAATTTTTCACAATATGCTTAAAAATGTAAATTTTGTATTTGTATAAGGAAAATACCACAAATCTATCTATAAATGAGAGTATTGAAGGAGAACTAGAAATCCCTACCTCAAGGATCAAGCAAGAAAGCAAGGCTTTGATGAGATTCCTTCATAAAACCAAAATCCAATCGATAGCAAAATGAGATCTTCATGTATGTTTCACTTTTTGGTGAGAGACCTTAGCCAAATCTTAGAGAAATGGAAGGTATATGGGTCAAGAAATCAAGGGTTTTCGGACTTAGGATGAGAGGAAGGAAGAAAGCAAAGAAAAGTGGAGAGAATGATCTAGAAAGGCACTTTGTGCAGTCCGTTGGAGGGCAACTTCCTGTGCTCGAGCGCACTTACTTCCAGCACAGATACCAAAACTTCAAATGGGCATAACTCTCTCGTCCGGACTCTATTTTAAGTCGTTCTTGTGTCCAAATCGAAGCCCCAAAAACAAGATTTCCAATGGTTTTTAGCCTCACATCTAAATTCAAAGTGTGGAGAAAGAAAAGGACACAAGAGTGATGGCTATTCATAGGAAAATAATTCAAATCAAAGTTTTAGGTTAATCTTACTTTGCCATTATGTTACCACATCGATCAATATCCCAAAATAAAATAAAGAGGCTCCATATGCAATAATAAGAGTGTGAAGAGCAATCTCACTAGTTCCGGAAGTATAAAGTGCTACACTACACTCGAGTGAACAGACACTGACAAGATAGACTGCTCAAGCGGCAACTCCTGCGCTCGAGTGTAAATCACCCACTCTCAGAATCTCGGATAGACCTGCAAAAGTACTGGGAGCCTCACAAGACTGCTCAAGTTTCAACTCTTGCGGTCGAGGAAGGAAAAAAATTTATGCAGTGCTACATCATGGACCTTAACTTCACGCTTCAATGTATCTTTCTCAATGCCATGAAGGTGCCATAATACTTTAACTAATGAAATTGTTTTACCTCTCAAAACTTGCTCTGTTGTATCTAAAATTTGGATTGGTTTTTCTTCATAAGATACATCTTCATCCCCTTCGATCTCCGTCCAATCTAACACATGAGAGGGATCAGATTCATATTTGCGAAGCATAGAGACATGAAACCCATCATGAACTCCGGAGAGTTGTTGCGGCAATGCAAGACGATATGCAACTTCTCCAATCCGTTCAATGATGTCATAGGGATTGATGAACCTAGGTAATAGTTTTCCGCTTTGGCCAAACGTCATTAACCCTTTTCTAGCAGATATGTTCAAAAAGACATGGTCACTATTTCAAAGGACAAGGGTCGTCTTCGTTTATCTGCATAACTCTTTTGCTAGCTTGAACTGTGACTAACCTTTTCCGAATGACGACTATTTTCTCCATAGTCTCTCGATCTAGTTCTGGGCCTAGTAAAGGTGAGTCTTCTACTTCAGTCCAGCACACATGTGATCTACATGGCCGCCCATACAATGCCTTAAAAGGTGCCATTTCAATACTTGCTTGATAGCTATTTGTAGCTTGCTTTTCGTGGTCCTCGGAGGGGTTTAGTCTCCTCAGATACGATAGCCCTACAGTTCGGACTCCCGTGGTTCTGAATTTGGTTTCACAAGTGCAATGTGAAATAGAAAGAACACAAATGAGTCCAAATCTGGCAAATCTTAGAAAAATCCATTTAATTATCAACGATACCAAAAATGGACTGCATTGCCAGATTTCAAAGTCACCCCTAATTATTTTTGGGAAATTTAGGAAACTCATGACTCGTGCCAAAGGCCACTTGTCTATCATCACCAAAGTGTCTTGGCTCGGGAGCTTAGGTATGAGAGGGAAAGGTCATGAATTGAGCACCCTACTCACTTGATCAAAGATCAGCCTCTACTAATCATGATGCAATTCTTATGTATAGTATATGCTCTTGTTCTGATCATTATGCTGTCTTTACTATGTGATGCACATAAGTATAGACTAATTCGCCCACTTTGGAACGTTTTGATTTCATGTTCGTTTGAAAAGCGTTTTGAATATGTGCTACTTGAAAAGGTGAGCTCATATGCACATTAATCAAATCATCCAACTAAAGCGAAAAAACCTTCATCCGCCGGCATTCAAACAGGTATATCAGATAAGCACTTAGCCTCATGTAGTTATGCACAACATATCAACAATCGCATGCATGCAATATGCTAAAGTAAAAATGCTTACCCCAAATATTCAAGGCGAGCCCAAAGAAAGAAAAATAGTTAGAAAAATGCATGATCCTAAACAATGCAACATGACTAATGCAATGCGTACAACATGCACTTAATAGGCTCGGCTACTAGCATGGCATGTGAGTCAATTCAAGGCATGCAATAAAGCATGTATTCGAGTAAGGAATTTGAAATTGACATTGATTAATATGATGAGCCGAACCCTTATGCATACAAAACGAATGGATACGAGTCATGGGAAATGCTAATGAAAATCACGGTAAGTGGATAAATAAAAGGGAGAAAGAAATGGGGGTAGGAAGGCATACACAACTTATTACATATTTTCCCTCGAGCAGGAGGGTTCGAATGTTCGCATGTCCAAATATCCCAATTAAACTGCTTAATACAAATTCAAACAAATGCTAATTTAATTAACTATTACAAACTCAAGGAACTTGAACTAATTAATTAAACTTATTAATCTAAAGGTCACAAGTTGTTTGAACTTGAACGAGAGTCGGTGAACCACGCATGTGACCGAGAACATCCTTCCGGAAACTTCCCTGCTCTGCTGCCAGAATTGTTCTGTTTCGCAATCAGAAAATATTTCTGTTTTTGCCACAGCTTCTACTCCGTTTTGCAAGAAAAATGCCACTGTCTGCTCAATAAAAGGTGGCCGGCTGGCCATGAAAAGTGGTCGGCCGGATACATGGGTGGTCAGCCGGCCACAGATTTTAGGTATTTCCCTACTGCAATAGAATGGAAACAGAGCAAAAACAGAGTGTCTCCAGGGGATGTTTCTTCTCTCTACCTGAAATTGATCAAGGGAGGAGTAGAATCGATTCGCAAACCATCAATTGTCGCAAAGTTATTGTGTGATGATCTATGAATCAATAGGACAAAAGGTCAACAACCGGAAATAAAATACTAACAACACCCTTTTCTTATGATGGAGTTACCTTAAACAAAGTGATGGCCATTGTTTCTTAAACCATTGAACATCACTAGACAGTACGCAATGAGTCAAGACGCAATAGGTTCAATTAACGTCCAATTGAATCTGACTTGTTTTTATTATCTTGTTAATCTCTTTTACTCCAATTTTATTAACCTCTTTGTTTTTACCTTTCCATTACTTAATCAGTTTTGTCCAAAGTGATTGGTACGTCCACTAATGAAGAGAAGTGTTAAACAAGAAGTTGTCCTTAAGAACGGAAGGTCTCTTTCTCATGCCTTAAATAGAAATCAATTGGTTGAAACAACTCTTAGACAAAGAAAATCAAGAAAAGAGGGAGGTTGCAGAGATGTTTATTGCAAGTGTGAGTACATGTATGAAAAGTATGAAATAAAAGCTATCGACTTGAATAGGTTGGTGTCTAAGGCCTAAACCACCAAACCTATGAGGACTTACAACAATATAAGCATAATATTCAAAGCTTAAGCTAACTAAAACAATTAAAACAAGCCCAAAATAGCACAAAACAGTGTTGAAACTAGTTTGCAAAAGCTAAAAAAAAGCAAGCAAAATGGAAGAAAATTAAAGCTAGTAAGCAAGCCTAAGGAGGGGTGGCTAAGCCCTTGACTTTTAGAACCTTAAAACCGCATATTTTAGCCTCTGAAAATCAATGGCCAAAAGTTGAAAAACAAGTCGGAAACACAAGGATAAAAGCTTATCGAATAAGGTTCAAGGAAGGGTGATTAACCCCTCCAACTTTGGTAACTTTAAATCACAAGTTTCAACCCACCCAAAATAGTTCAAAACAGGATATAAAACCAAGAAAAGGATGGAAAAAAAGTAGGCCAAAGATGCCAAGAGTTATACCTTTGAAGACAAGGCACTGTTTTGTTCATAAACCACAAGGTGCTCACTCTCAATGGCTGATATTTTAGCTCAAGAATCTCAGCAAGGAACCCTAAAATATTGGTTTAGGAAGTGTATGTATAGTGTATGTATATTGCAAGATAAAAAAGGAGAGTGCTTAGCTTGCTTTTGAACTTTGGAGAATTTTTCTAACATAAAACCATAAGGGATGGTCAAGTGTATACAGAAAAACAGGTTGCTATCTCAGAAATATCTTTATTGAGCCAGCTGGTGTAGTGCATGCACATGGAGGGGACAACTGGCAGCAATTATCTTTCTGCCGAGAAACCTGGCCGGCCGGCTAGGTAGGGGGACGGTCGGCCATAATTTTTGGCCAGCCGACCACCTGTTAGCCAGCAGGCCTCTGAGTGGTCAGGCTTAGAAAAAAAATGAGTTTTGGTCGACAGAAGGTGCAAGGTTCTAGGCTCTGAAACTCAAAACTGAGGTTCCTTGCTGAAGAAATTGAACAATTGTATGGTGTATAAATTCATCATTGAGTCTTCACCATGAGGCGCCCAAGTCTTAAGGGCGGTTAAAAATGGGGTGTCTACAATTTCCCTTCTTTGACAGAGCTCGAAGTCATGAAATGACGTGAGTGAATGTCAAAGTCCAAAGACGACCCATTTTGACAAGGCCGTAAGACTTGGGCAAAGCAATCAAAACGTAAATGCAATTGGTTGAACTCGAAAGTTGCCTACGTATCCCTTTGCAAGGAATCAAACCAGTGTAGTTTAGGGGCAGAGATATAAAATGATATATGATGTGATACAACAGTTGAGAATACAAACGAGCATACCACTCAGAAATTATGAAGATGAGATTCAACACAATGCAATAATTGAAACCATAAATGAGCATACCACCCGAAAATGACGAATAAATGGGCATAAGCCACACTACTACGTACTGCGATTATAGAGAAACAATCTTAATGAAACAATCCTAACTACGTAGAAAGGTTAACAAGAAACAATCCAAACTACACTTCCGAATAGCAAGGTTAACAAGAAATAATCCTAACTATAGAAAGGTTAACAAGAAACAATCCTAACTACACTTCCATATAGAGTGGTTAATAAGAAACAATCTTAACTACACTTCTGCATAGAAAGGAACCAGAAATAATCCAAACTACATTTCCGCATAGAAAGGAACAAAGACAACCCAAACTACACTTCCGCGTAGAGAGGAACAAAGACAACCCAAACTACACTTCTGCATAGAGGAGAATAAGAACAACCCAAACTACACTTCCGCGTAGAGAGGAACAAGAACAACCCAAACTACACTTCCGCGTAGAGAGGAACAAGAACAACCCAAACTACACTTCCGTGTATGGGGTTAAGGAGTATAAGCCAAATCACACTTGTGTGACAAGGGTGGATATAAAGAAAAGCACAATGCACATGAATGCAATGCATTGAAATGACATATGCCATAACGCATGTTCTATGCTGCATAATAGGTATGTGAAATACGATGCAATGCATGTTCTATGCAACATAATAGATAACCGAATTGAAAAGATAAGTAGAAAGCGATGTTTCGAAGACACCTCGCACTGATCTCTGACTTATTGCTCAGAGGTTCCTCAAAATGCTCAAAAAGGATACAACTCGCTCAATCTTGAAATTAGGGCATGTTCTTACTTTGAAGCGACAATGGGACTTGAAATGGTGCCTTCGGAACCACATTTCAAAATTTTTTGTGACCGAAACAAACCCAATTTCTGTAATTCTTCACCTTAGGATGCATGCAGGACTCTCCCTGCACAGAATAGGCAAGACCTCAGCGAAGAACCACCCTGGACCAGCTTCCTGGCCGGCTGGCCACATAATTAGCTAGCCGGCCACCCATTTGGGTTTCGGGGGCAATTTTGGTTTTTCACCTCATGGCTTATAAAACCAACACCACAGCTCATTCCAACACACCAAAACCGACCAAAAATCATAACCCTCTCTCTCTCTAGATTTGTGTTTTATACGCATTACCCAATGTCCCATACAAACTTTTTTCCTAAAACACCTTTGGCCCTCTATATTTTGAACCGATTGAAATTTGATTTGGTTGATTTTTTGGGTTTTTCATTGCTTTGGGTTCATTTCCCTCGTGTTTTTCTTGGGTTTCACACTTTTTCCCAAGTTTTGACTTTTTTCTCTCCTAGGGTTTGACTTTTTAGGTTTTCGCCATT